CTCTGAGGCTCCCCCTTTCCTCCCCTCTCCCCGAGGCAGCTGGTGTCCCGCTCCGCTGTGCCGAGGACGAGCGCTGCCGAGGCCCCCGCCGGGCCCTGCCTGTGCAGTTGGCCGCCCGCTGCGGTGGGCATCGTCCTCCCAGCCGGGCCCGACGGAGAGTGACCCCAGCGAGGGACAGGTCTTCCTCAGCGAGAGCTGCGTGAAGGTAGGGACCCCCGGAGGCAGCTGGGGTGCTTCTGGGAGGGATTCCAAACTGCCTGGCCTGCCCTGGGCACACAGGGGAGGCGTTTGAGTGTTCGCCAGTTTGTTTGGCAGGTCTTTTAATCCTCTTCCTTTTCTTCTCTGCAGAGGCTGCTGGAGATCACAGAAGGGTCAGAGTTTCTCAGGCTGCAGGTGGAAGGAGGTGGCTGCTCTGGTTTCCAGTACAAGTTTTCCTTGGACACAGTTATCAATCCTGATGACAGGCAAGAACAAAGGGGTGTAGTGGTGGTCGGGTGTGACTGTTCTTTGCAAAGGTAACAAGAAGGGTGTGCGTGACATGATAGTATCTTGAATTGAAGGGAAGAAGCCTGTGAGATAAGGAAAGTGCTCAGGCTGTGCTTCTCTGTTGGGTCTGCAGCACAGTTAATGGTTAAACATGCTCCTTTTCTGCAGGGTGTTTGAACAAGGTGGTGCCCGTGTGGTCGTGGATGTGGACAGCCTGGCCTTCGTGAAAGGTTCCATGGTGGACTTCAGCCAGGAGCTGATTCGCAGCTCCTTCCAGGTGGTGAGCAACCCACAGGCAGAGAAGGGTTGCTCGTGTGGGACTTCCTTCTCTGTCAAATTCTGACTGGACTTCCCGTGGATGGACACTGTCTGCAGACACTTCCTGGCAGTCTTCAGAGGGTTTTTGCTTGTTCTTTTCCCAGCTGCTCCCTCTCATCTCCTTTACCCCGTAACACAGCTCTTACACATAACTCCAGCTGTGTGTGTGTCTGCACTGAGCCTGTTGCCAAGACTTTGTTGGCCTTCCCTTCAGGAACATGAAGTAGCCGTGAGCACGCACACCAGAGCATCTTCAGCGCCTTGTGAACCACTGGTCAGATGGTGCTGACTCGCCTACCCTGTCCTGAATGTGGAAACACTTAACTCCTTGTCTCTGCAAGAGATGGCTGTATATATGTGTGTGTGTGTCTATTGAAAGTTCTTACTAAAAAGGAGTCTTTGAGATTGATTGGTATTGCTTGTGCCTTCTCACATGGGTAGAATCTGGGTTCTTTCAGGCTACTGTTGCTTATCCCTTGTCTTCCAGCTGAATGGGACCCGGAGTCTCTCTCCTGTATCCTGTACACCTCCCAGTGTTGCTGGCTTTCCACTCCCCAACTCACAGTGGGTTTTTCTAGGTACTTCGCTGTTCTCTTACCCAGCAGGCTTCTCTCGGTCCTAGGAACCTACAGTGGTTTTGCTGTCAGTCCCTGGGATGAAAGTTTTTACTTGTTCAGAGTAAGTGCAGCTAAAAAATTGAGGCAGGAAGAATTAATAGCTTATTTATTTTATTTAAAAAAGAAAAAGCTTGTATATATGTAAAAATAAAATACACAGCCCTCCATCCCCCAGTGCTATTTTAGGCTGTTCCTAAACCTGACTTGGAATTGTAGGTCATACAAACTCTCGGGTTTCATAGTGTGTCTGCTGCCTTCCCTTGCCGGCAGGAAGGGAAGTTCAGGTGACACAGGCAGAGGAGGATCTGGAGTACTACTTAAGGGTCCTCAAGTCTTTTGACTTAGTTGTCTGAGAATCTTTTCCATAACTTGCTTCACCATTTAATCTCTAACTTGTGCGTGGTTTGATGAAAGAATGAAACAGCTCCTTTCCTTTCTGAAACTCCCATGGAATGGGAAATATAGAACTTTCCAGAATAACATCCTTTTGATTAGTTGTTTTCTGTAGTTTTTTATCTGCCACTAGATGTCTTTTAAATCAAAGTGATTCACCTGCCTCTGGGTGAAAGGAGAGATGGGGAAGCTATTTTTGTTTCCTCTCTTGCGTTTTATCTGATGATAGCCTAACTGTCTAAGACTCGAGTCTGTCACGTGAGTGTGGGAGCACTCCATGACTTTGGTCTCAAGGAAACTGCTTATGGCAAACCACGAGCTTTTTAAGACTGTGCCACAGGCATTTTGGCTGTTAAGCCCCCCCGAATGCCTTCCTAAACTAATTAGCAGTGCCTACGTACAGCACTGATTTGCCTGTTGATTTCTAGTGCTCAGAGAGTTGATAGCCAGCTAGTTTCAGTTTCATCCATAGCTGTTACAGGAGTTCGTATGTGATCTGCTCTGACTTTGTCGCATGGGGAATACGGAAGGGATTTGGAGCAGCAGCTCTTCTGGTTTAGCCCTTTCCATTTCCGTTTCCTGCAGTCAACAAGTTCTACCTAGTTGTGTTGCTATCAGAGGGAGTAGGATGTAGCACTGTCCCATTTTGTAAAAGGGAGTAAAAGGATGTGATTAAAAGACTTGTCTAAACCCCTGCAGGATGTTTTGGCCCTACCCTTATGCTCCCAGGTCTTGAACGTGATGTCAGCCAGAACTGCCTTGGAAAAGTGTAAGACCTAAAAGCGTGTGTAGGTAGAAGACGTTAGGTAAACTCAGGTTCTTTCAGCTGGGATAACTGAGCAATGAGAGTTGGCAGGAAGAATTGCTTTCTGAACCAGGAAGTACAGATCCGTTCTTGATCCATTTTACACAGTCTGACCTTGGTCAAGTCTCTTTTGGGATCTTTTATGGGAAACAAAAGTGCACAGTAGTGCTGGGGAGGTAGCAAACCAGCAGCTACCAAGGCATTTTTTCCCTAAACTAAAGCCTGCCTTCAGCCCCTGTAAGTGTGCAGCCTTCATCTTGGATTACTCTTCTTATTAAATGTAAATGGACCATGTCTGTTCAGCCTAGCCAGGTTCCACCTGCCCTCGCTCGCTCTGCACTGATGAAGTAAATCAAGCAGGTGCTGTCCGTGCGGAGCGCCTCCCTTTTCAGAGCATTTGCCTCCTCCCTCGCAGGGGCTGTACAGAGGATGAGGCTTGGGGCCCCCACCGGTGTCACACCGGCAGCGTCGCTGGGCTCACAGGGGGGAAGCTTGCACGCGTGGCTTGCTCTGCCTGCGGTTCTGGCAGTACTGCTCTAACTGCACTAGGTGGACCCCTTACTCCTCGGGAGCCGCTGCGCTGGACATGTACGGGCATTTCAACTTCTGTCTGGGGTGAGGTTGGATCTGCTCCGTGCAGGACCTAGGCAAGAGCACAAGTTTCTTCGCAGCTGCCTGTTTTGGAGGCAGGCTGGCGCTGAGTTCATCTGGTATTGCAGCAGTGTGGTCTCTAGGTCAGAGAAACTGCTAGGAGCTGGAGAGGTTTCAGCTGTACAACTCATTGCTTTTGGCCTCCTCCTCCTGCTTCCTGGGAGCGGCTATAATCTACTGGCCGAAGCTACTGGTCTTCCAGCTCCCACTAGGGAATGGGTGCAAAGGGCTGTCTGTCACCTCCAGAGTCCTCCTGACTCTTTAAAAAAAGTCTGTCAGTACATCAGAAATTGAAAACTTCTGTCAGTGTCTAGGAAGTCAGCAAAGAGGGTCGTGTTAGCAGAGGGGGGTGAAGGTGACCTTGGTGAATTTTGGCTGTGTAGGCAAAAAAGGCTAGATCCTGGCTCTCATGGAAGAAAAAACCCAACCTGTCAGGGTTGGTACACTGAACAGCCTTAGGGGGCAAAGATGGCACCACACAGTAGGCTGGGGGGCAAGACCGGCGGCGCCAAGAGAAGAGTGCAGAGGATTAGACAGGGGATTTGGTTCTGCCTGGGCTGTGAGGGACTGCTAGGGCATGCCTGCGAGATGCCTACACTGTAGGGATAGATGGGAGCCCTTGTACTGAACCACCGAGAAAAAGCAGGAGTACGGAGCTGGAGGTGCTGCCTTTGCTTTATTGCAAATGAGAAACTGCAGTGGAAAATCTTTCTCTGCTCCCACATGAAGAAGGAGGATTCTCTCAGTTCACCCACCTGACAAGGAATGGATGATCAAGAAAGATATTTATGGAAACCTACGTTAAGATGAAACTTAAAGGGAAAAGGGCGCAATCAACAGTGTCACTGACAGGCGGGTAGAAGAGGATGGAATAGAAGTCCTCGCTTTGGTGAGGGCTTGTTGGAGCTCTGCAGGGACTTGTTAGTAGATGACCAGCACATCCTTAGCCTGTGACTCTGGCTCTGTTCTTCAAATTAGGTATCTATCGTCGCCTATTAGCTGTGGGTCCCTCTTCCAAGCTTCAGGCCAGGCAGTGCTAGAGAAATGGCAGATTTTTGTCATGCCCCTTTTCTTGTGGTTTAGGGATATGCATGGGAATAACAGGCTCACCTCGGTGGGCTTCTGTGTGGTGTTACTTGCTACAAAGAGCATTTGGGGGTGAGTGGCTCCTGTAAGACCGAGGGCCAGCCTAGGGTGGCTGTTAGGAGAACAACCGGCCCTCTCACCCCAAAATTTTCATCTGCAAAATTTTGCTAAGCTCAGTCCTCTCCCTTGTGAAATTCTATGTCTGTACAGAGCTGTTGGGTGAGTCAGGAAGACAGCTAGGAGTGAGGAGCCGGTACCCCCCGGATGACACCCACGGGGGCTTCTGCTCCCCCCACACTGCAGTATAATTTCCTGCCTTCTTAGGGCTTGCCTGAATCCACCACCTGAGGGAGGACTCACTGAACGGTGGAGAAAGCAATAACAGGAAGGCAGCAGCCCATGAAAGAAGGCTTCTCTTGTCTGTGTCCCACACTATGAAGGCAACTGCTTTTATATCAAGACTGTCTTCAGCCTTGCAAGCATTTTGAACATCCACTGGCAGCTGAAAGTAAAAAACAGCGGTATAAACCCCACTCTTCACACCCTTAGCTGGGACTGGCCAGAGGAGTTTATTGAACTCAGGGCGAGAATTCTGTATTTCTAGGATGAGCTGCTACAGCACGTGCTTGAGGACTGAACCACATGCTCTCTCCGCTAGGAAACACATCAGAGGGGTTCATTAGCAGATGGTGTGATAGGATGTGCTTCATTTTGATGCTTCGTTCTCTTTGCCTGTTTTCATGGACACCAGCTGAAGTGCTCGCCCAGCGTTCACCACGCTCCTCTGGAGCGGGCCACAGCTGCTGGAGAGATTGGCAGCAGAGAAAGGGATAACCTCGCCTAATGGTGTGTTTGATACAACTGTCAGCCAGCCTGGAAAAAGAACCGCAATTCAAGGAGACAGAGCATTGGCGAGAGTCAACTGCAGCTGCCTGTATTGTATCAAACTCTTCTATTTGGGTAATCTTTTTGTTGCTTTTTTTTTTTTTTTTTTAAGAGGGTGAGTCCTTGAACCAAGCACCATTGGGGGCTAGGTATAGGATTAATGGTGCAGTTTGGATCTTGCTGGGTTCTGAAGAATATGTTTTCTCAGAGTGGTTTCCAGGATTAGGCTGCAACTGGCAGATATCTGCCCAGGAAACAGCTCAGCAGATCACGGAGTTGGGGTGGGTTTAGCATCCAGGCATGGACAGAAACGAAGCTGTTCATGACAGCGAGATGGGCCATTACTCCAAGGCTGTGATTCCTGGCCCTGTGGGGAGCAGTTTGTGCGCAGCGCTTCCTGCCTCTGGCCTTCCCAGCACTTGTACGGCCCTTAGTGTGTCCTGCTTGAGCAATAAGAGTTTATGGCCCTAGTCTTTGTGGTTGATTAGAGCCCAAGTTTGTGCCCCTGTTTTAATCAGTGCTCATTTACCTTTGGCATCCTTCAGAGGAACAGAATGGTATGTCTTTCAGTTGCTATGGAAACAGTGAGACTAAATGCACATTTCCATGGCAACCTGCCATTATCTTCAGCTCTATCTGTGGGTCTCATTTTCTGACCATGGGGGTGGGGTGGTGAAAATGGAACTTTATCTCTCAAAAAAAAAAAAAATTTAAAAAAAGAAAAGAAAGATGCTACCACCACCATCCCCACCATCCCCTTTCCTCCTCTGGGTCAGGCTTGGGGTGGAGAGAGGCCTGTGACTACTGCTGCCATCCCGTGCGCTGGGACTCCGAGGTATTGTCTTCAGCCCCTTCTCTCCTTCACCCTTCTAAAAATAGAGATGTTCAGAACAATTTGATGACAATGTTCCAGCACTTCTCTGAGCTCTTTGTTTCCTCAACTAACGCTCCCAGAAAAGGCCCTTGAAGTTA